TCTATCTATCTATCTATCTATCTATCTATCTATCTATCTATCTATCTACCATCTATCTACCATTTCTTTCTCTTTCTCTGTTCCTTTCCTCTTCCTCTGTTGAGAGCAGTCCTGTGCCTCCAAGGAACAGAGATGAAGCTTTCAGTGGAACAACCCATAAGGAAATGAAACCTATCTACAACTGTTATAAGGAGACTGCTTGTTTGTTCCCAGCTGCTCAGCCCCGAAATAACCACACAGAAACTATATTAATTACATCACTGCTTGGCCTACTAGTTCTAACTTCTTATTGGCTAGCTCTTACATATTATTTAACCAATTTCTATTAATCTTTGTATCACCACATAGCTGTGGCTTACTGGCAAGGTTCCATCTGGCATCTGTCTCTGGTGGGGCTACATGGCTTCTCCCTGACTCCGCCTTCTTTCTCCCAGCATTCAGTTTCGTTTTCCCTGCCTAACTCTGTTCTGCCCTGCTATAGGCTCAAAGCAGTTTCATTATTCATTAACCAGTAAAAGCAACACGTAGACAGAAGGACTTCCCACATCATACAACTGCCAGGATAAATCTGGATGCTGACCCTCTACCTCCAGTGGAGACTGGTGGTGACTGCAGATCCTCCAACTTTGTTTTTCTGAGACAGAGTTTCTCTGTGTTGCTTTGGAGCCTGTCCTGGAAATCTCTTTGTAGACCAGGCTGGCCTCAAACTCACAGAGATCCACCTGCTTCTGCCTCCCCAGTACTAGGATTAAAGGTGTGTGCCATCACCTCCAGGACCTGCCTGTCATCTTGACTGTACAGAAATATCTTTCACCAGAATCACCAAGTTAAGCTGCTTCAAAATTCCTAGCTCCCTGCAACATGTGTCTAGATGTGGGTTAGTACAGAGAGGAGACACAGGAGGCTTTGGAAATAAGCAACTGTGTACCGCGAGGTGTTCAGTTAGGAGGTCAGACTTTCCTATGGCATCATCTAAAGGAAAACACGCAAAGCTCAAGAATCTGTAAAGTCCTTAGAATCCCAGACTCTTTAGGCCTATAAATTTATCAGCCTTCCCTGCAATTGATTTCAAGGCTACACTTCTCTCTGCCTCAGGGATTTTTATGTTATTCTTCCTCCAATTATTTTTTAGTAGTGCTAATGTTATAATAAAATGCAATGCATGTAGCTTATTGCATGATTATGGCACTCACTGGAGACTTATCGGACACTGTGCTCCACCCAGACTCAGGCAAAGCTTTGGAAAATGGCAGTGCTTCTTGTCACGGATGTAAAAAATGAATCTTGAGTGGACCTTTGCCCTCTTTCGAGCAGCTTGTGAAAAGGCCCTGACCTCATTTGCAGGCTAGTGATGGTTATAATGCAGAGGTTAAGAAGGAAGTTTCTGAAATCAGAGAGGCTTAGGCTCAATTCACTTCCAAGCTCATGTGGTGGTTGGTGATGTTCATTTCTTTCCAGGGTGTTAGGCTGAGGGCATCAGGTTCTTGCTGATTGACTAGGACCATCCTGTCCTCAGTTCTCTACCCTGTGGACCTCTCCAGCCGCTGCGTCAGAGTAACCACAAAAGAACCAGAGTGGGTGCTCTGAGGGGTAGAGGGAACAGGAGAAGGGGGAGAAGAGGAAGAGGGAGGACAGAGTCTTATGCTTTTTGTAATTTAATTTCAGAAGTGGCACTCAACTTTTCTGTCATATTCTGCTCATTGGAAGCAAGAGATCAAATTTAGCCCACAATCAAGGGGAGAGGCTTTCGTAAAAACTATACAAGAGAAGAAATAACAGATCATCTTGGACCATGTCGGGAGGTATCTACTGCATTAGGATTGCATAATCTGCGTATGTGAATACCCTACAGTGAGATGGTTGAGGTATTGTCAGCATATTAATAGCAATGATTAGTAATCTACTAAGGATGAAACTTCCCACCTGGCTCTACGATATTCCATGGTAGAGGTTCACGCTTGTGTTTATTATACTGATATTGGTATATTGAAATTCTGGCTGGAAGTTGTGAACCTCACTATGACAAAGGTCCTTGTGTGGAATTCTTTCCACGGTATAGACAGTTACCAGGGAGAGAGAGACAGTCTCAACCTTTGTGTAGGTAGGTGTCAAGGATGGTAGCCTTTCAATTATCTTTTCTCCCCGAATTATGTGTGTGGGTTGTGTATTAACAGACAGGATTGTTTGAGATAATTTAGATGGCTTCATGGTGGGTTATACTGTTATACTGAAAAATTCGGAGAAGTGCAAATTACTTGAGACTACTACTTTGTTTCGCTTCATATTTTTTTTTTATGTCCAAAGAAGTAGGTTGAGTATATTGAGGGCCAGTGCAGTTCGGTTCTTAGAGCCTTCTGAGATTCTGACAATGGGCATTTGCTCCATTCAGGATCTCTTTTTTGCACGATCACTTAGCTCATCATTAGCTCCTTGAATTCCCGTCTAGTAGGAGCTTTGGGACCTTGAATGGGGGGTGATTCTAGAGCTGACTCAGGGGTAAGGGTTCTGTGAGATGTTGGTAACCCTGTATTCTAAAGTAGGGTTTAAAGGTTAGGTCTTTGTTTTCAACTACTCTATACAAAACCCAGATCTAATGCATTTTACAAGAGGCCTGTGTTCTATGGGGGGCAGCAGAAACTAACTAAGACAACATGTAGAATTTCTTCTGCTGTATCAGAGTCCCCACTGACCGCTCAGTGCAATGTTCCCTTAACCTCGGGGCTCAGTTACTGTGTGTTATCTTGCCTGGTTTCATCTAACCTGCGCGACAACCCAAGTATAAATTGTTGACTCTGAGTAACTGAGCACCACCGAAATGAAGTGATCTCAGTGAGCAAGGGCTAGGATTTTAATCCTATTATGATCTAAATTCTAGGCTGTTTCAAAAACATAACTCAATCCCAGGTCCTAAGAACCAGAACTTCTGGTCAGTTCTAACCACGGGGGAGCTAGTATGAACATCAATCATCTCAGGTAATGGCTCCAACAGATGAGAACACAAAGACCTCCCCTCCCCACTGCTCTGTTAGTGTCTGTCTACCCCTCAGGCTAGCTTCTCAGTCCTGCCTCTGGCACAGCTCCCTCACACAGGCCCTAGGTAGATTCTTGCTGCAGCCCTGAGCATGTAATTGTGTTTGCCACTTCCCTGTAGTTGGTCAGTTCTGCCAGGATAGGAGCTGGGTATGTTTGTACCTGGCACAGTGCCTGATACAAAATAGATACTCAGTAAAAATTGATGGCGCTTGAGTTTGACTATACCCTTTTCCTAGTGGGAGATCGTAGAATGGACTGCTTTTATGCATCCCTTAAACTGGAACGAAGCCAATAGCTTCATGGTGTTCTCTGTCAAGGCATTGGCCACAGGGCATTTCAGTGGGATATCCATTCATTTGCTTTGTATGCTAGCTTGTGCTCCCCAGAAGCAGATCTTGAGGCGAGGGTTTGGGAGCATTTGCTTGCTTGGGACACACTGTGGCCAAGAGGGGCAACTATGACTAAGAACAGGGAAAGAGAGCTGTGTGTAACTGCAACTCAATCCACTTGAGCCTCTGCGCAGTGGGGTGGAACATAATATTGTCCCACAAGGGTGATGAAAATAGCAAACTGCATAGCTCAATCTGCATTGTTTGATGCTTGTTCCTGGCCTGTTAGTGTTTCTTTCTTTCTTTCTTTCTTTTTTTATTTGACAGGGTCAAATGATCCCTTTATTATAGTTCATCCAGTTACCACAGATAGCCACACTGGCTCAGGCAGGTCAACTGCCAGCTAGGGAATAGTTTGTGTCTCTCAGAAACAAGGGTCATTGGGCACCAGGAGAATGCAAAAGCAGGTCACTGGCTGGCAACAGACAGGAGGATCCCCAGAACCAACCGGGCCCTCCTCCCACCCCCAAACCAAACCATGCGTGCCCAGCCCCATTTCTCATCCTGGTTCCCTCCTCATGAAAGTGCATAGTTGCCTGGAGATGCAGCATTCCAGGGCCTGAGCAGTTGGGCCAGACACTGGTAACAGGCTTTCCCAAGTCAGCGCCAGGCATGGCCAATAAAGAGGAATGGTAAGGAGGACAGGAAACTGACTAGAGGTAACATCTAATAGCTAGTGGATGCTAGGCTGGCAGCTGGGCACAGCCCTCCCCAAACTACCAGAGGATCAGGAGAAAGGGAGCCAGAAGTCTGGGGTCAGGAGGAGGGAAAAGGAGGAAGGGCCTCGCCCTGGGGTCTCAGGATACCAGGGACTGTGACAACTGGTCTCCAGAGAGAAAACAGTACGGGAAAGAATCAGCTAAGCCTAAGGGGTCACTAGGAAAGGAACTTTCCAGAGACACTTGGCTTCTCCTACAAGAAGCTGAAAATCAAAGCTCAAGGTGGCCTGAAACCAAGGCAAACCAGCCTGGACTGGCCGAGTGCAGCCTGGTTCTCCAGTCCACTGAGCCCGGGTGAGTTTCTGTTGGAAGGAGTGAGAAACAGGCAGCTGCTCCTTGGAAAGGCCTACCCACCTCAGGCCTCACACAGCCGGATCCGTGACCAGGCAATGTCTACCCACTGCTTGGAAGAGACAGTCTCAGGGTCTAAGATCAGTCATGAAGGGGTAGAAGATTCTAACAGAACTAAGAAAAGACCAGGAACGAAGTCCTATAATTGAATGGAAAAGGAGGGAGGGGCAAAAACGCACTAAACGAAAATCTAAACGCAGAGTTCTCCTTCCCTCCCTGGCCACCAGGAATGCCATTCAGGACATTGTGCTTGCGGCTTGAACTGGGCCTGGGAGCATCTCCACAGAATCTGTCCTGTAGCCAAGGGCAAGTGGGACTGGAGAGGTAAGCTACCCTCTCATTGGGCTTCTATTTGACTTCCCTTTTGATCCCCGACCCCTTTCAGACCTGGCTCCCCAAGCTCTATCCTTTCTGCCATACTCAAATAGAACAGCTACTCCTCCCAAGAATCCAATGGTCACTCTGAGATACCTAGAAGTCCGTATGGGCTGGGGCCAGCCACACTTCTCCCAGGAGCCAGTAATGAGTTCTATACCCTCTGTTCCCGCAGTGCCCTTACAGTTAACATGGCCCAGCACCACAGGAAACACGGAGTAGCTAAAGGAGGATCTGGGGAGGAAAGGAGGAGAGTCGGAGGGGGAAAAGAAGCCTGCCTCTGCAGGTCAGGCTTTCAGAACCAAGGAGAAAGGCCTACATTTCCATTCCCTGGGTGTCAAGTACCAAACGGGCTCTCCATCTCCAAGCTGTGTGCCCTTCCACATCAGGGCTGGCTCAGCTCCCATGCCAGCTTCCTTGAACTGAGGATCAGATCAGATCTGGGGACCTGGGCAGTCTTGGAAGTAGACATAACTGAGACACCCAGTCTTAGGAAGACAAAGTAAAGCTACCCGCAGAGGAGAAAGATCCTGGGAGAGCCAGCTAGGGAAGAGAGCACAAAGAGTCTAACAGTGAGGACAAAACAAGGGGAGAAAGAGGTTGAGGGGAGGACTACAGGGGCAAGGAAGCATCCACTCTGTCCCACCCTCCAGAACCTACTCATCACCATGAACGCTGAATACTGTTGCTTCCCAGTGGGACCAAAGGGGGAAAGAACTTCAGCTCATAACCATGCACAGGGTGCCAGACTCTCTGTTAGGCCTCCCCCTGCCCCGTGAGGAGTCCCTGGGCCAGGGTCAGAGGGGGCAGCCGGGTGGACCGGGGAGGGGGGAGCTGGTTTAGTTCTAAACATACATCTAGCACCACAACAAGAGATTGCCACTGCACATTATTTCACGAGGGGACATGGACTCGGCCACTAGTGCACAGGACCACTCCTTGTGCAGCCCACAGCTCTCGAGGTGCCAAGAGCAGGACCCAAAAGGTGGGGGCAGGGGGTAGACATATACATATACATATACATACATACACACACACACACACACACACACACACACACATATATATATATATATGATTCTTTGTACAAAGTTGGGAAGGAGAAAAGGGAAAGGGGAACCCTGCTTGGTCACCACACAGATGATGTGGCTTGAGCCCCCTGTCCCACTGGCCCCCAGCCCTGCCTTCTGGTGGGCTTAACTGGCTCACATCTCGGTTAGAGTATGTGTAGTTGGGGGTGGCAGAATATTGAGTCTGCGGTTGATTCATGGCACCCTGTGCAGCCCCCATGGCTGCATTCTGGGCTGCCTGCTGCACATGTGGGTTCTTCCATGCGCCAGTGGTCCACTCCTCCTGAGCTTTACTGAAACTGCCCCCGCTGCCCCGGTAGAACTTATGAACCATGTTAAGGGTGATGAAGGAAAAGACAGCCACCACTGTAAACATGACCGTGGGAATGAGCATCACCACTGCCGAGCCAATGTTTGTCCCGAAGAAGGAGATGGTGGCGATCCAGGCACAGACACCCCAGCCTAGAATCCCCACAGCCTGGATGATGCTAATGACCAGTTGGGCCATGAAGGTGAAGAAGAAGGCCATGAAGCTAAAGGAGCTGTCCGTCCACATCCACAGGTAATATAGACGCTTGGTCAAGCTGCGATGCTGAGGAGGAGTATCTGCCTCGAAATCTTAGTAGAAACATGGCTTCAGCAGAATGAATTTGGGCAGCAGTGGGAAGTTGTTCACTTTCTCCGCCATGATGAACCAGCCAGCCCTGTAGTCTGCTCACACCTTTGTCCTGAACTCTAACCCCAGTTCTTGGAAATAGAAGCAGGAGGATGCACGGGCAAGGCCTCTGGCTACATCATTGCGTTTGAGGGCACACTGGGCTCCAGGAGACCCTGTCAGACCCCACCACTCTGCTGCAGAAAGGCAGTCGTGTTGCACTGCGCTGAGCTGCGCTGCACCCGGCAACGAGGCGCGGAGCCGGCCGCCAGTGGCTCCCAGATTGGGGGCCTGGCCTGTTAGTGTTTCATTGTGATCCTGTGACCTTTGGCACACACAGAAATAGTCTACAGATGACTTCTGGGCTAGGTCGAGAAAACCACAGCACCAGTACCTTTTCTTGTTTTGGCAGTGTCCTGGTTAATTTTTTTTTTTTTTTTCTAATTTGATACAAGTCAGGACCAACAAGCCAGGACCATCTTGGAAGAGGGAACTTAAACTGAGAAAATGCATCCATCACATTGGCTCATGGGCAGTTCTGTGGGGGATGGTGGGTTTATCTGTGGGGGATAAATGATTGATGTGGGAGGGCTCAGCCCACCCCTGGGCAGGTGTCCTGGGTGGTATATGAAAACAGGCTGATTAAACCCTGAAAGAACAAGTCAATAAACAGCATTACTCCATGGAGTCTCTGCTTCAACTCTTCCTCCAGGTTTTTACCTTGGCTTCTATTGATGATGGACTATATAACCTGAAAGCTAAATAAACCTTTTCTTCCCAAAGTTGATTTTGGTCATGATACTTTTATCACAGGCAGTAAGATCTTTGATAAAAATCCATAGCTAAGGTTTATTGAGCTTGTTATACAGTAGACATCTCCTTGATCCTGTGTAGTTCTCACAGTAACAGAGTAACTATGATTAACCCTATTGTACAGATGGGGAAAACAGGCTCAGTGTAGCCAACTAACCCATTCATGCTGGCAAGAGGTAATGATTAGCATTCTTCATGGGCATGCCTAATTCTACATCTGTCACCTTTTCTGCTCCTCTGCCCCCCAGCAGAGCTTAGCAAAGAGGATCAAGATTGGGCTTAGATGCCAACAACAGCAGGAATCCTGGAGAACATTAAAAATGAGGGATTAGGGGTCCAGGCACGGAAAAGAATTCATTGCTGAGTGAGAACTCAAGGGTAAGGAGGCAGGAAAGCAGAAAGGCCAGGTGTACAGTCCAGTCAAAAGGGCTGGAGCCAGATCCAGGCAGAGTCAATGAAGGTGATAAGTGGGTGAGGACAGACAGGCATTCCAGTAATGGGGGCCTTCTGGGTGTAAGCAGAGACTGTAGTTTTGTTTTTCAGCCACCTGGACCTGAATAATCACACAAAAACTATATTAGTTACAACACTGTTTGGCCATTAGCTTAGGCGTATTCCTAGCTAGCTCTTACATCTTAAATTAACCCATTTCTATTATTTAATATTTTACCATGAGGCTTGTGGTTTTGTTACCTCTTGCTTCTTGGGAGGCTATGTGGCATCCTTCTCCTTTGGCAGCTACAAGGCATCTGCTTGACTCTGCTTACTTTCTCCCTGTAGTTAGTTTAGTTTTCCTGCCTACCTATATTCTGCCCTGCCATAGGCCAAAGAAGTTTCTTTATTAACTAATGGTAATAAAACATATTCATAGCATACAGAGGGGAATCCCACATCATATGTGCAAGGAGACAGGCTAAGAGAAATGATACCTGATACCTGTTTTTCTCTTTCATACATCATAGTTTGAATCTGAGATGCCTTTCAGAGTCTCAGGCTCTGTGTGATCATTCCCTGAATGGCGGTGCTATTTTGGGAGGCTATGGAGTCTTTCGGAGGAGGAGCCCTCCTGGCAAAAGAAGGTCTTTTTTTTTTAAACTTATTGAGGAATTTCAAACCTTATAATAATGGTTGAATTAATTTATATACCCACAGACAGCATATTAGTGCTTGAGTTGTTCCCCTTTGCTATGGCTTTGTCAGGGTTTGCTTTTGTTCGTTGCCAGTTCATGGGGTTTGCCTATTCATGCTTTGTTTTATCCTTCCTTCCTTCCTTCCTTTCTTCCTTCCTTCCTTCCTTCCTTTCTTCCTTCCTTTCTTTCTTCCTCCCTTTCTTTCTTGTGTATTTATATGCATATATGTGAATATAGTGCATATACAGGTGTGTGTATGTATGTGTGCATTTATGTGTGCACATATCTGTGTATGTGTGTAGAGGCCAGAAGTGTCTTGTACTGTCAGGCCCTGCCTCATTTCCAGAAAGGGTCTGTTACTGAACCTGACCCTGGACTGTGGCCTGAAAAGTGCTGTAATCCTCTGCCTCTGCCCCTTCATAATTCTTGGGTACCAGTCATGCATATGACCATGTCAATCAAACTTTTTGTATTAGCTCTGGGATCCAGACTCAGATCCTCATTTTTATACAGCAAACTCTTACACTCTTTCACACGGAGCATCTCTGGCACTTTGCTTTGTATTTCCTTAAGGATTGGTGGGAGATGCTTTATATGCCACACCTTTACACGCCACAAGAACCACCTTCATGTCCAATCATGGGGACACAAGAGACAGGCTATGTAATCAGGGTCAACTTCCACCCGTTAGTAGAGTCACTTTGGATATTCAATAGTGTGTACTTGTCCTTAGTCTCACATGTAGAGTTTGATAAGGATAGGATGCTAATGTCTTTTCTAGTCTAAGTATGGAAATTTGGGATCTGTTTAACTAAATTCCCCCTTTGGGTTTCTCTGGGGTTCCCAATGTCTATTGAATACAACAGGAGTCTAATTGTGATGTGAATGGAGAGGGCTCACCACCTCCAAAGGTGCCTCCAGGATGTCCAATTTGCTTTTTTTTGTGATCCTCACAGGAAAACCATCAGGGCCAGTTCTGTGGTTCACGATGAAATGTCATTGAGATATTTCAAGAAATGAGTGCAAAACAGTTCAAATTGAGAATTCAGTTTCTTAGCAATAACATGTGTTTAATTTAATGTGTTTGGAAGAAAACATCCTAAATTATAGGAAAGTGTGATGATCATGATTTGACATAAATATATCAACAAAGACTAAATGTAGTTACAGAAATCAGAAAAGCCTGCTTCGCATACTGCATAGGTATCTTCTGTGTCTGGCAAAGACATAGGACCGCATTGAGCTGCTCTACTGGATCCCAGCCTGGCTATGGTGCAATGTAATTCCCCTTTGAGCTCTTGTTACTTGGAGGAGGTGTTTTCAGTTGCATCTGGTACTAGGGTATTTCTGGTGGGAGAAACTATAGACTTGGTCAGAATATTTAGGAGTGCCGTTCATGTTTCTATGATAGGAATCTCAGTTATAGGCATGTCAATATTTTGTTCTGTTGGCACCTTTGGGTCATGTCTCTGTGTTGCTCTTGGATATTTGTCCCCTTTAACTGAGACTCTGCTATCCATTAGTGCTGAATGAGCCCAACCTGCATGCCTCCATTCCTATCTTCTGTGTCCAGCTACGTAACGTTCTGGGTATAACAGGGCCATTGGTCTTGTTCTTAGAGACTTCTAAGGACTGAGTAGTGTTTATGATCTGCAATAGAGAAGAACCTGTGTCAGCAGTTGGTATTGGGAAGCATGGCTGGAATGCAGGGCATGATGTATATTTCTTCCCACCTAGGGGGAGGTCACAGGTTAAGTGGCAATTTCTTCAAATTGCATTTTCAGTTCTTTACTTGTGTTTTTTTTTCCCCTCTTACTTTCTTCTGCTTTAATACCTTGTCCAGACAGCCAGGAGCCTAGTGATACATTGCATTGTTCAGCACTTTACAATTTATTTAGGAAAACACTTTTACATATATTAGAGGGCAGTGGCTTAGAACACAGACCTTGAAGGCATGCTGCCTAAATTTAAATCATGGCTCTGCCAGTGCTGGCTGCATAACCTTGGGTAATTCAATCTTTCTGGTCTCAGGTTTTCAGAAAATAGAAGCAAAAAATATAACCACATCATTTGGAGGATAAATTAATATATGTAAAGTACTAAGTATAAGATGAACACATAGTAGGGGCCACATGTCTTTTAGTATTCATTATTGCTGTAACTACTACTTTATTCCTATGCCCATTTGTTTACATGGATGGCATGGTCCGAATTGCCATGGATTTTTAGCACCTTTCTGCCTGTGTACATTCCCTAAGCCCCCATTCTACCACTGGGCTGATCCTAGATGCCCCTTGACCTGCATTTATCAACAAGTGTCAGAGGTCCCATCCTGTACAACTGATGGCTGTGTCACAGTCTGCCAGGTGCTGTTCTATGCTATCTCCCCATACTATCTGTCCCTCTGCTCACCCAGGTGCAGCAGCTCTCCGGGAACTACTTTTAAGGTCAGTACCTCTAGGCTGCAGAGCGTCCGTGTAAAGCGGGAAGAAGGGTTTTCCTTGAATTGGCTTTGTATTCTTGACACAGGACTTAGACTCTCTAAAAACAGAATCAACTCCACGAAGCATTGGTAAGCCCTGGAGAGTTTCTTGGAGGTTAGTACAGTTGCATCCATGCAGCAAAAACACTTAATAAACTAAACATTATTTGGTATCATTCATTCCCTTTCCAAGGATTCTCCCTTCAGGTATTTGTCAGTCTGACTCCCCTTTCTTCATCTCTCCTCCTCATCACAGTCACTTTTGTCTTTTGCATGATCCTAAGAATCTTGCTTACACTGGCTGCTAGGTGCTCAGTAGCTCACTAGATCTGTTCTCTGTCAGGAAAAGCACTTCCATCAGACCAGATGCTGCAAAGTTAAATGTTGACGTCTTCATATGTTGCATGAAATAAAGTACCTCTCCTCGGGGGCATTATCTTGCTAACCCACTGTCATCAATTTTAAAACCCATCAGTGTTTTTATCTCTACAGATATTTGGATTATTTTCTGATTCCCAGAAGCTTGTTGCTATGTGAATTTTCCCAGAGAGAAATAGACAAATGTCCTTGACCCCAGACAAGGCATTGATCACAAACCAAAGAAAGGATTCTTCACTTAGCTTCGTCAACCAAGTTGCTACTTGTAGAAGTATGAGTCAAGGGGTTATTTATAGAAATATGGATAACTCAGAGGCAGGTGTCTCACCAAAAAGCAGAGCCTGCCTGGAGGGTGACTCATGAGAGCTGAATGTCCGGAGTCCTTGAAGAATTTTAGATAGTTGTTCTAATCAGAGAGTCTCATTTCTGCAGCAATTGCTACTGCTTTTGTAACTGTGCAGAGGGCTCTTGGAAATCTTGTA